TTCCTCCCCCTCCTCCTCCTCCTCCTCCTCCTCCTCCTCCTCCTCCTCCTCCTTGCGCGGGCCGCCCAGCGCGGCACCGTGCACCGGAGCCGAGGGCGCCCACGCACGACCCTGCGCGGGCAAGCTGCGCGCGAGTGTCCACACAGCGGACCCCCCGCCTGCCTGCGTCGCTCGCATGGACTGCGGATCGGGCGCACGGGCGCTGGATCCACGGCTCGGGGAAGGCACCCTGGAGGCAGGAAGCCAACGCCGCCTGGATTGGCGAAGGGGCGCGTCGCATCTGTGCGGAGGCGGGACCCGTTGCTGCTTCACGCGCCTTCAGTCGCGCTTGCGCTTCCGCGTGGGCCCCTATCGGCGATGAATGGGCGATTGGGGCTCGGTGCGTCCCCTATTGAGCCCATCCCCTCTGACGTTGCCCCTGACTCGAAGGCTTGGTAATGGGCACCAAACCAACACCAACCCAGGGGGGCTGCGCTGCCTCCACCAAGGGAAGATGATCCCAGATTCGAGTGTCGGTGGCAACATTTCGGCCACCTGAAGCCCGAATATTACCGCCATCACCGAGATCGAGATCATCTTCCCTCGGTGGAGCGACACCGCCAACATTGGTGCTGGTGTCAACCTCCGGGCCTCCGACTGAACTTTCTGTCTCGAACAGGCAACGCCCTCGGCGCGGCGACACCGACAAGCGAGTCCTGTCGACCATCAGCTGGGAAACCTGAAGGTCTCCGTGCCCCGCCTTACCGTACCCACCTCCATCGCGCCGAGTCCACCGAGGATCTACGAACCCGGGTCAACAGGAAACCGAAACACTGCAATGCCGGAACAAGAAAAAACTGCAACGCAGGGCTTCGCAGGTCCGGGTCGGCCAATATGTGCGGCCGCCTTGCGGCTCGCTAGCCCGGGTCAGCCAGAGGCGTTCCTCGCGAGATCCTGCAGGATCCGGTGCCCTGGCTAGCCCCTGTTTGCACTGACCCCCGTCTCTTGTCGGGGGGGGCACGAAGGTGGGGTTGGGGCAATGGTGGGGTTGGAGGGAAAATCGCTCCAAACGGCCCCTGGACGAAGGAAGCGCATTAAACGGGAGCATCCAGCCAGGCCCGTTCCCCAGCCCCACGTTGCGACAACCCTCCCTCTGCGATCTACGAACCCCCGATCTTGAGCCCCGAGTCCAGGTGGACGGTGATGTTCCGGGCGCGGAAGCCGTCGAAGTCCTCGGGCACCGAGCTCCCCGCCGTCTCGCTCCATACGTGCACCTCGCCCGCGGCCGCTCAACAAATGTTTAAAAATGCTTTAAACTAGTCGAAATATCGTCCCCAGAGCATTTTTCAACTATTGCATTTTCCACCTGTCGAGGCACCCGCCCGACTCGACTCCCCCCCCGCCCCCCCGGCTCGCCGACAGGACGCTCGACATCCAGAGAGGTCTCCGGGGCGTGCCGCCGCGCACGGACGCCCGAGTTATCCGGAGTAACTCGGGTCCGGGGTAACTCGGGTTTGGGTTCCCGAAAGACGAACCCGAGTTAGCCCTGACCTGAGTTACCCCTGATGATTCGGGGCTCTGACACCCCGCGCAGGGCCTCGGCCTCGGGACCCGCGCGCGCGCAGCGCCTCGCTCGCGCGCGGGGGCGCGCGGGCGCGCCTCCGCCCCGGGCAGCTGCGCGCGGATGCGGGCCGCCAGGTCGTAGTAGAACTCGTTCTTGGTGCCCGCCCGCTCCCGCTCGCGAGCGGCGAGCGCACCCATTTCGGGAGCGGCCAAGAAGGGGGTGTCCAAGAGGGGGGGTGCAAATCATGACCGGCGGCATGTGCGCGGCCCAGCGAGGGGCCAGGGACGTAATGAAACAAGAAGAGGCGCCATGAGATCTGGGGAAATATCATGGCCCCCGCCATGATATCCACCCCCCCCCTAGTCATCACCCCCCTCTTTTCCGCCCCCGACCATTCGAGCGACGAGTGTCAGAGCTGGTCGGGCGCTTGAGCCGGGCCAGGCAGCCTGAGGGGCACCCTGTCGCCATCCATCGCCGCCGACGGGTGTGAGGAGAGGGTCGGTGCCCCCTGGAGTGGTTGTTCGATGCCCTGGCCGCTGTCGGCCACCCGCTCTCCAAACGCATCCAGATCCACGCCCTCGCGGTCTCGGGTTCCGGGGCGTGATTCCGGGGACGCGCGGTCGCATGGATGCGCTCCTCGCGGGGAATCCGCGGACAACACGCGCCTGATCCACGGGGTGGGGGCTCAGACAGGGGCAAAGACATGCACGAACGCGCGGGCGACCCTTGACCATCTCCTCCTCCTCCTCCTCCTCCTCCTCCTCCTCCTCCTCCTCCTCATTTTCGTCATCACCCGCCTCGACAAGACACTCGTTCTCCTTTTCGACCTCGGGGGAGGGGACCCAGTTGAAAAAGGACGATGCGAAGGGCGAGGGGAGCGAAGAGCAAGGGAGAGGGCCATTCGCAGACACGTGGAGCACAATGACTAAGTCCCTCCATCTCTCGGGCCATGCCGGTCTGGTCAGGTCCCTGGAGCCCCAACTGGGGAAAACATGCGGGTCGTGAGCTTGCCTCACGACGCGCAATTGTCGATCCGCGAGAATCCCCCCAGCCCTGTGGGCGAGGCTGGGCGAGGCGATCCAAGAAACCCCTCCTCCCCTCCGGGGAGGGATTTACCCCTCCCCCCACCCCCTTCATTGGACTTTTTGGGGGGGTGTCGCGGGTCGGAGGGTCCTTCTTCGGCCCTGGGAGGGCCATTTTTATGACGTCCCTCACGAAGATCGTGGCCCCCGAAGAGGGGGCCTCGATCGGGACACTCCCTCCTTTGATCGATAACGTCAAAGATGGCCCCAAGCGGCGCTCCAGGGCTCCCTGTTAAAGATCACGTTCCTCACTATTTTTTGGAAATGCCCTCTCAAACCTCCCTCCGCCCACTCCGCCGCCCCCGCCCATCCCCCCGCTGCCTTCGCCACGCCTTCCGCTTTTTTTTCGATCACCCCGCCCGTCCCCTCGGCCCCTTGCACCGAAAAGGAGAGGAGAGGGGGAGGAACGAGGAAATGAGGGGGGAGGAGGCCCGAGAGGAAGGGGGGCCGCGCCCCCGCGCTCGCCCCGCGCCGCCCCGCTGGCCAGAGCGGAGGAGAGGAGAAGAGAGGAGAGGAAAGGACAGGATAGCAGGAAAGGAAAGGAGAGGAGGAGGAGGAGGAGGAGGAGGAGGAGGAGGAGGAGGAGGAGGAGGAGGAGGAGGAGGACGTGGAGGAGGAGGAGGAGAGAGGAGGAGAGGAGGAGGAGGAGGAGGAGGAGGAGGGGGGGTAAAGAAGGTGGGGAGGAGACGAGAGGAGAGGACAAGGGAGGGGAGGCGCGTGGGGAGTTCTGTATTGTCCACAACAGAAAAGTCGGCGCGTCCTTCGGCCTCCTTAAAGGGCCCCAGAAAATTCAAATTCAGTTTTTGGAATTACATGGTTGTTATTTCTATTGCGGACAATATATAACTCACCACGCGCGTTTGCGTAGAGTTATGTATTGTCCACGACAGAAAAGTCTGCGCGTCCTTCGGCCTCTTTAAAGGGCCCCAGAAAATTCAAATTTAGTTTTCGGAATTACATGGCTATTCTTCTATCGTGGACAGTATACAACTCCCCGCGCGCGCTTGCGCGGAGTTATGTATTGTCCACAACAGAAAAGTCGGGCGTCCGTCGGCCTCCTTAAAAAGTATCAGAAATTTCAAATACAGCTTTTGTAATTCATAGTTTTTTCTATGGATGATCATACATAACTCACCACGCTCGCAGTGCTAAGCAGGGCGGAGACGACAGGAGAGGACAGGGGAGGGGAGGAGGGGGGAGGGGAGCGGGGACAGGGGAGGAGAGGAGGGAGGAGGAGGAGAGGAGAGGAGAGGAAGGGAGAGGAGGAGAGGAAAGGGGGGAGAAGAGGGGGGAGGAAAAGAGAAGAGAAGAGAAGAGAAGAGAAGAGAAGAGAAGCTACGATACGATAAGAGAAGATAATATATAAGAGAGAGAGAGAGAGAGAGAGAGAGAGAGAGAGAGAGAGAGAGCGATAAAGAGAGAAGGAGAGAGGAAAGAGGAGAGGAGAGAGGAGAGAGAGGAGAGGCAGGGAGGGGAAAGAACCGAGGAGCGAGGAGAGAGGCTGAGACAGGAGAGAGGGGAGGAGAGGAGAGGGGAGGAGAGGAGAGAAGAGGAGACGACAGAAGGGGGAGAGGGGGGAACCGCGCCCCCGCGCTCGCTGCTGGCTCGAGCGCGGAGCTGCGCGGGGGTGGCATCCCCCCCTGGCCCCTGGTGCGGCCGCGGCGACCTCGGTGGCGACCCGAGGCGCGGCCGCCGCTCCGCCCGCGCCACGGGTCGAGGGGATGGGGGCATGATGGGGGAGGGGGGAGAGGGAACGATGAGCGATGGTGCGGGGGCGGGGGTAAAGCTGCGACCAGGGCCCTAGGCCGCATCCTTCGATGCATTTTTCGAGCTGGATCGATCTGCGATAGCGCTGGGTACTTCCGCCGCCGTTCCCGCGGCCGATGGCTGCGCTCCTCTACCCTCCACCCTCCACCCTCCCTCGCCCGCAGGTCTTTTCGGCTCGCGAGACTGCGAGGCTCGGGCGCGGCGCGCCCCGCCAGCCGCCAGCCTCGACCGCCCCGTCCAGAAATTCACCAACCCCATTCCGAAATTCACCGCCCCATCCCGAAATTCACCGCCCATCAAACCACCCCGACCCAGACCGAAGGTCCCGATCCGGCATGCATTTCCAGTGTGTGGGGGGGGGGGCGTTCGAGGCTGGCATGTTTATCCCTTCAGGCCCTGAAGGGCTTGTTGCTTCTTGTGCCCACTCAACCTTGATAGGCGCACCTCCAACCGCCACTACCATATGTAGGAGAGGGGGGTGGAGGAGGAAGAGTAGGGGGAGGAGTAGGAGGAGGACGACCTCTCCATCCTCTGTTCTCCCCCGTCCTACCTATGGTAGTGGCGGCGGAGACGTACCCATCAGACCTCATGCCAGCTGCTGCAATGAAGCCCGTCGAGAAACCCTTGCCAGAGCAGGTCAAAGACCTCAAAAAGACGGTCAAGCACCTTTCCAGCGCCGTGCGCTTGACGCAGAAGGCCGCGGACATCTACTACCAGCGCATTTTCGAACAGAAGGATCAGATCAAAGACCTGAAGAAGAAGCTGCGCGAGAGGGCGAGGTCAGCGGAGCGACGCAACACAAAGGCTCGAGCAAGTTGCCCGCGCAAGGTCGCGCGCGAGCGCTTTCGTTTTCGACGTGGCGCGCCGCGCGGGCAGCCAGCGTGAGCCGCAGCGCAAGGTCGTTATTGGTGGGCCACTTTTCCACCACCACTACCATAAGTAGGACGGGGAGGACGGGGAGGTGACGAGGTCCGCCTTCTCATCCTCTCGTTCCTCCTCCTCCCCCCCTCTCCTACCTATTGTGGTGGTGGTGGTGGAAAATCTGCCCATCAAGTATCGCATCGTTCTCGCGAGCAGCTTTTTTGCGTCGCCCATCACCCAGGATGATGAACAGGATCGCCCACCAGTCCGACCGCGTCGCCGCCCGCCTCCGCGGCTGCGTCGCCAGGCCGTGAGCGGAGGAGCAGGCTGACAGCGCTGCCCTTTTCAGCAACAATGCATGGGAGCCGTTACAGTCAAAACTCATAGTAAAGATTCACGGCTCACGGATGTCCTCGCCGAGGACATCCGCGAGCCGTGAATCCGAGGACTCCTCGGGGTACCCTTGCGCGTTTGCTTCTGCGGCCCGTCCTTCGCGCTTTTCGCTGGCCAGCCCCTCAAGGTGTTCGCAATCCGCCACCCAAACAGTACGGATTTCGGCGTCCGAGGCCCTTGCGTCCTTACAGCCCGTCCTTACTATGGATTTCGACTGTACTAGAGCGCATGTGCGCACGCTAGCGTTTGGGAGTCGGCGGGGGAACGACGGTTTAGTTTCGATTAGCGTCGGCGTGGTGTCGGTTACCGTTTAGTGTCGATCAGCGTTGATTCGCAAGGGCCGACAAGGTGGCGCAGGTGGCCTCCGTGGATTGTTGCTGCATTGGGTTCAGCGCCCTCCCTTGTCACCCACCCCACCTCCGCCTTATGCGCTGCCCAAGTCGTTCACTCCCCATCTATCCCCTCCCTCCCCGCTCAGTTTCCTCCCCCCTCTGCGCCTCCGTTCCAGCATGGCCCCTGGCCACCGTTATACCCATCGGTCGTTGAATGCATAGTTTTTGGGGTCCCAGGTTCCAATATACTTTAAGCGCCTTCCTACTTCAATGATCGGGTGGCTTCACATGTTCCGTCCTCTTTAGGGGGCGGGCGGACCCCCAATCTACTTACTTTCAGCGCCTTCCTACTTCATGTGTCATGTTTCCAGCTTAGTCTTCCGACCGATCGGTAAGCCTGCAATCCTGTCGCTGCTCGGAAGCTCGCTGCAGACCGCCCGAGCCTCGCCGCGGCCAGAACATGTGGATTAGAATTGCTGGTCAGCGTTTTTCTTCGCAGTCAAGGCGCAAGACGCTGAAATGGGGCGCGTTTTGAGTGCGGAAGGGGCTCGGTATCCATTTGGGCATTCCGTTGTTGTTCCTCTAGCCGTTCTCGTGCACCAAGGCGCGGCTGAGCCGCGGCTGGTTCCAAAGGGGTGTTCGGTCCGTGTTGGGCGTCCCTCATTTCAGCAGCCTGCCTGCGCATTCCAAGCCACTCGTAACAGTGCGCCGCTTCAC